TACTACGAAACTCATAAAAATAAGGATTGACGAGGATATGAGGGTGTGGTAAGTGCACTGCTTCCCCAGGCTTGAAACACTTAACAGTAGCGTTTCCTGCGAGTAACATCAAAGACGCCTTTGAACTGAACAGGCAGAAATTGAGTCCCTTTTCCAGTTCTCTTTCAAACCTTCTGGTTACTTCAAGGGACCACTTTGGTTTGGCACCAGTGTGTCTTTAAACAATACTATTTCTTTATGGACATTGTGTGTGTGCATATAATTATTTATTTACACATATATGTATAAAATTATATGTATGTAATATTAGCTTTTACAGAATCATGCAGTAAAATTGAACATTTTCAGAGTTCAGTTCAATAAAAATGTTAACATAGGTAACCACTATCATAATTAGAATTGTAACATAAGCAACCACCACAATACAAAACAGTTCTATCACCCCCAAAACCTTCTATGCTGCCCCTTTTATTCTAACACCCTTCCCTAACCCCTAGCAACACTGATCTCTCCTCCCACAGCATGGTTTTATCACTCTTGGAGAATATCGTATAAATGGATCATATTAGTGGTACCTTTGAAATTGGCTTCTTTCTTTTTTGTTTTGAGATAGAGTTTCACTTTTGTTGCTCAGGCTGGAGTGCAATGGTACAATCTTGGCTCACCGCAACCTCTGTCTCCTGGGTTCAAGTGATTCTCCTGCTCCAGCCTCCTGAGTAGCTGGGATCACAGGCGCCAACCACCACACCTGGCTAATTTTTTAATATTTTTAGTAGAGACAGGGTTTCACCATGTTGGTCAGGGTGGTCTCGAACTCCTGACCTCAGGTCATCCACCCGCCTCAGCCTCCCAAAGTGCTGGGATTACAGGCATGAGCCCCACACCCGGCCAAGATTGGCTTCTTTCAATCAGGCTATGTTGAGATTCATCCAAAGTGTTGTGTGTTTCTCTGCTTTTCTGTTTTGTTGTATTTTATGTTTTTAGCAAGACAGAGGGTCTTGCTCTGTCTCCCAGACTGGAGTGCAGTAGGACAATCTTGGCTTACTGCGGCCTCGAACTCCTGGGCTCAAGGGATCTTCCCGCCTCAGCCTCCAGTATCTGGGACTACAGCTGCATGCCACCATGCCTGGCTAGTTTTTTATATATATATATATATATACACACACACACACACACATATACATACACACATATATATATTTATCTGAGATGGAGTCTTGCTTTGTCACCCAGGCTAGAGTACAATGGTACGATCTCAGCTCACTGCAACCTCTGCCTCCCGGGTTCAAGAGATTCTCTTCCTTCAGCCTCCTGAGTAGCTGGGATTACAGGCACCCATCACCACGCCTGGCTCATTTTTTATATTTTTAATAGAGCAGGGTTTCACCATGTTGATCCGGTTGGTCTCGAACTCCTGACCTCAGGTGATCCACCCGCCTAGGCCTCCCAAAGTGCTGGGATTACAAGCGTGAGCCACTGCACCTGGCCTGTCGTGTTTTAGTAGTTTGCCCTCTTTATTGCTGAGCAGTGTTTCATGGTATGGGTGAATCACAGTTTATTCCTTTCTTAAGGGATTTTTTTTCCCCCCAGTTTTCAGCTATTGCAAATAAAGCTCCTACGAATAAGCATGTGCAGATTGTGTGTGGTTGCATATTGTTCAAAATCCTCTCTGGCTTTCCAATTCACTTAGAATAAAATTTGCAGTCCTCCTGCAGTCTGTAAAATCACACCTGTCCAGCCTTTGTCCAGCCTTTGATAGCATTTCCTCCCTGCCTCCTCTGCTCTTTCTTCCAGCGATCCTGGCTTTCCTGACTTTCTCTGCACATGCAAAGCCCATCCCATTTGTAATGAGTTGAATGGTAGATGCTAAAATGTACATTCACAACCTGCAAATGTGACTTAATTTAGAAAATGTTTTTGCAGAAGTGAGGGGTCTCAAGATGAGGCTATCCTGGATTAGGGTGGTACCTAAATGCAACATCAAGTGTCCTTATAAGACATAGAGGAGGAGGGCTGGGCTTGGTGGCGCATGCCTGTAATCCCAGTGCTTTGGGAGGCTGAGGCAGGTGGATTACCCAATGTCAGGAGTTCGAGACCACTCTGGTCTACTTGGTGAAATCCCGTCTCTACTAAAAATACAAAAAAATTTAGCTGGGTGTTGTGGCGTGTGCCTGTAAGCCCAGCTACTCAGGAGGCTGAGGCAGGAGAACTGCTTGAACCCAGAAGGTGGAGGTTGCCATGAGCCAAGATCGCGCCACTGTACTCCAGCCTGGGAGACGCAGTGAGACTCTGTTTCAAAAAAAAAAAAAAAAAAGTAGATGCAGGCACAGGGAATAAGGCCATCTGAAGATATTGCAGAAACTGGAGTGACGCAGCCACAAGCCAAAGAATGCCTGGAGCCTCTGGAAGTTGGAGGAGGTAAGGATCCTCCCCCAGAGATCTTCAGAGAATGTATGGCTCAGCTGATGCCTCCACGCTGAATTTCTGGCCTCCAGAGTGTAAGAAAATTAATTCCTGTTGTTTCAAGCCACCCAATGTGTAGTAATGTATTATGGCTGTCAAAGGAAATTAATAAACCACTTGAGGGCCTTTACACGTGCCATCTCCTCTACCTGGATTACTCTTTCCCCAGATTCTTGTGGGGCCCATGTCCTCACTTCCTCCTGGTCTCTCTGCTCAACTCTCACCTACTTAGAGAGTCCTCCTGCTCGTCTTAAGAGAGGCCCTTACTGTATCCCTCTAACTCTATAAATTTGTTGCACTTCTCTTTAAATATCAATCAATTTTGATACATGGTATTTGTTCCCTCTCCTGCCCCACCCCCGCCCCTTTTTTTAAGAGACAGGGTCTTTTTGCTTGCTCTGTTGCGGAGTTCAGTAACAGTAATCGAACCAGTGTTAATCTTTGGTTCAGTAAATGTCTTAGTGGTTATAGTTAACTCAGGAACTGGAAAGAGTAGATAAAAATTATACTTGCTACTTTACAGCTTTTCGGTAAAGCGAAAAAAAAAAAAAAAGTCTTAGTAGGCAAGGGATACAGTTTTCCAGAAGAGAGAGGGAGAAAGATGTTGTAATAGATGAATTCTTTCTTGGGAGACAAAGCTTAACACACTCCAAGACTAATTATCTGTCCTATCCGCCCCCAGATAAAGAAAGATTGTCACTAGAGAAAGTGACCAAAAACCTTCCTCAGCCGAAGGCTGAAAACATCAACAGTCCCTGAACAAATATACACAGAGACAAAGGACTTTTTTAAAAAGGAAATGAGCCTGGCACAGTGCCCATGTAATCCCAGCACTTGGGAGGCCAAGCAGGAAGGATCGCTTGAGGCCAGGAATTTGAGACCAGCCGGGCCAAAAGTGAGACCCTGTCTCCAAAAACAAAGAACAAAAAAACCGGCCGTGCGTGGTATTTCACACCTGTAATACCAGCACATTGGGGAGGCGCGGAGGCCAGGCGGATCACGAGGTCCAGGAATGGAGACCACGGTTGAAACCCTCCTTCTACTAAAATACAAAATTAGCCGGACCACGGTGGTGGGCGCCTGTAGTCCCAGCTACTCGGGAGGCTGAGGCAGGAGAATGGCCTGAACCGGGAGCAGAGCTTGCAGTGAGCCGAGATCACACCACTGCACTCCAGCCTGGGCGACAGAGTGAGACTCCGTCTCAAAAAAAATAAAAATAGGGAGGCCGAGGCGGTGGCGGATCACGAGCAGGAACGAGACCCATCCCCTGGGCTACAC